ATTCTGGCACCAGAATCTAAACTAAAGACACAGACACGGTACCCTTTCCATATCTAATATATCCTATCTCACACTCACACTACTTTTATTAATAATTTAATTCATGATTACTCCTATACTTTCCTCTTTCTTATTACTTGAATGGTAAAAATGGTGAATCCAAAAAACAACAGTGGTTACAACCGACCGCTGACCCTGACTTATACTTTATGTTGTTTTGGTAATAAATAGCATCATGAGTTGTAAACTTGGAGTTTACTGATATGGGATTTTTGTTATTTTTGTAGGTTTGTTGATTGGAAGCTACTGCTTCAACATGTTTAATTTCCTAATGAGACAAAAAATTCAACCCACATTGAAAGCAGGGGGCAGGTTCAGCCACAATTGAACTAGTCATGTGCGTGTAATATTCTCTTGCATTAATATCCATACTTGTGTTTTGTGGCCTTTTTACTTTTATTGGAGTTTTTATCTATGCTTGGTTGGTTTCAACAAAATATCCATCAAGGGCCGAAGGCCGAAGAGTTACTTCAAGTCCAACCCAACTACATAACAATTCAGCCTCATCAGCCCTATTTATCTCTCTTTTGAAAAGCTCTTATTCTTATTAATTTTCTCTCACAAACGTGACATGACAGTTCACAATTGGTAAAACAAGATCCATTATTGGATAGACAGAATCCATTACAAACTGATCAATTATAAACTATCACGTCACGTTTGTGAAAGAAAGTTTGTGAGAAACGTTTGTGAGCATAATATTACTCTTTTTTGTAAAATTACGGCCTTAACATACTCCAAAACGTTTGGTCCTGTTGATTATTTTATTGAAAACATCTAATCAATTTGAGTGATGAAAAAAACACAAGAGCAAACAAAAAATTGATCCAATGTCAACATAATAAACAATATAAAGATATAAGTTTTGGTTGTTTAAGTGAGAGTCAGCCCAGTCCTGGATTCCTCAGCACATTACTTCTGGATGCTTGTATTGTTGTCGTTATGCCTCGGCTTATTTATCTGTTTAGCCTTTTAGTACAGTTCACTTAGTTGAGTAAAGAAATAATACATGTTGTCTAGTCTAGAGACCATAATTGTCAGCAGTTAAATTGCTATTTGCAAGTATCCATCTGATCCAACAATCACATTTGCTGTATGCCTGTATCTCCATTGATCGGATTATGTTTTCCATATTACTGCTCTTTCATTGAACATTCTTTAGCTATTTCTTTCTTCACTTCATTCTCAAATTCATTATCTATTTCTTGATTGTAGCCTTCTGGANAAAGAACCCAATACACAACCAAAGACATTAACGGAATCAATTTTGATGACCCATTTGGAAAAAAAAGAAGAAACCCACCAACAAAAGAGAATAAAAATCAAAAATTGAAGATCAAGATGGAAATACACATAAGCACATGTAAAGAGATGATGGGTTAGGTAGTTGAAAGTACCAGGGGTACGATCCGAAGCTTGTGATTGGGTTGCCGCCATATGAATCTAATGAAAAAAAAAAAAAGACTGTCTTAAAATTCTGGCACCAGAATCTAAACTAAAGACACACACACACACGGTACCTTTCCATATCTAATATATCCTATCTCACACTACTTTTATTAATAATTTAATTCATGATGACTCTTATACTTTCCTCTTTCTTATTACTTGAATGGTAAAAATGGTAAATCCCAAAAACAACAGTGGTTGCAACCGACCGCTGACCCTGACTTATACTCTTATGTTGTTTTGGTAATAAATAGCATCATGAGTTGTAAACTTAGTGATATGGGATTTTTGTTATTTTTGCAGGTTTGTTAATTGGGAGCTACTGCTTCAACGTGTTTAATTTCCTAATGAGACAAAAAATTCCTCCCACATTGAAAGCAGAGGGCAGGTTCAACCAGTGACGGATCCAGGAATTTCACTTGGGGGCAAAAAATAAACAAAAAAAATTTGTGGGGGCAAAAATAAAAGTCTTATAAAGGGTAAAATGCAACTAAATATAAATATTTATACAATCTAAAGTTTTTTAAAGTTTGAGCGGGGGCAATAGTCTCCACTCGTCATTAAGTAAATCCGCCACTGGGTTCAACCACAATTGAACTAGTCACGTGTGTGTAATGTTCTCTTGCATTAATATCCATACTTGTGTTTTGTGGCCTTTTTACTTTTATTGGAGTTTTTATCTGTTTGGTTGGTTTCAACAAAATATCCATCAAGGGCCGGAGGCCGAAGAGTTACTTCAAGTCCACAACCCAACTACATAACAAATCAGCCTCATCAGCCCAATTTACCTCTATTTTGAAAAAGTCTTATTCTGTCACAAACGTTGACATGATAATTCACAATTAGTAAAGCAAGATCCATTATTAAATAGGCAGAATCTATTACAAACTAATCAATTATAAACTCTCACGTCACATTTGTGAAAGAAAGTTTGTGAGAAGCGTTTGTGAACATAATATTACTCTTTTTTGTAAAGTTGCTGCCTAACATACTCAAAAAAGTCTGGTCTTGTTGATTATTTTATTGAAAACATCTAATCAATTTGAGTGATGAAAAAAACACAAAAGCAAACAAAAAATGGATCCAATGTCAACATAATAAACAATATAAAGATATAATTTTTGGTTGTTTAAGTGAGAGTCAGCCCAGTCCTGGATTCCTCAGCACACTAATTCTGGATGCTTGTATTGTTGTCGTTATGCCTCGGCTTATTTATCTGTTTAGCCTTTTAGTACAGTTCACTTAATTGAGTAAAGAAATACATAAACACTAGGCATACTACTTGTTTTTACTAACCATTAAGTGAGTAAGCTCTTACCACTCAAAAGGAACCCTCAGTAGTTAGTGACAGAGAAAATGCGACAGCGACAATGGATGCTGCAGCCAGCAGTTCAAATGCTCAAATTCGGGATGGGTAATTTGGGTTTTGAGTATGATTTAGTTTGGAAGAAGATTTAGGTTATTAAGATTGAGATTTGAGAGAGAAGATTTAGGTTATTAAGATTGGGATTTGGGAGAGAAGATTTTAAGTTATTAATAATGAGATTACGGAGGGAAAGATTAGGGAGGCAAAGTTTTTAGAGGCAAAAATTTGCTCTGTAAACCTAGCTGCGCAAAATTTTTTCACCATTTTTTTTTTTTTTAACTATCTGACGTGGTAAGTGACTGACGTGACGGATGAATTGGTATCTCCACATCAGATGTCACGTCATGTTGTAGACGGGTTAGTAAAAACTAGTAGTATGCATAGTGTTTCTGAAAGAAATAATATATATTGTCTAGTCCAAAGACCATAATTGTCAGCTGTTAAATTGCTATTTGCAAGTATCCATCTGATCCAACAATCACCTTTGCTGTATCTCCATTGATCGGATTATGTTTTCCATATTACTGCTCTTTCATTGAACATTCTTTAGCTATTTCTTTCTTCACTTCATTCTCAAATTCATTATCTATTTCTTGATTGTAGCCTTCTGGATGAAATTACGTCTGTGCATAATACTAGCAGATGCGAACCCGTATTCCTTTTATGGAAAACAGTTGCTAGCCTTATTATTGTTGAAATTTAAGATGCAGAGAAGAAAGAAGAAACGGCAAACTATCAAACAATCCAGCTCACTGTAACTCAATGCTGTACATATCTAAAGGAGTCTTTGATACCAACTAGTTTAGCATGCTCTTGTCTATCCTTACTTTCTGAAAAACTCCAGTGTTGTTGGTAACCGTCAACGTGGTTATTATATCAAATGAAATCCGTCATTCCACGAAATGAAGTTAGCGACATTCAGGGAAAAGACTAAAGTTGTCATTGTATTTCTTGTAAGATTTTGCATGGATTCACTTCTATAATACAATTTCTTTTTGTTTCTTGTATTTGTGTTTTGGTTTGGCTTTTTGTAACATTCGGCAATCCCTNTTCTGTACTTCGTCCGTCCTCGTTCTCAACTCTTAACATTGTATTTAGACACGACAAAAAGTCAACCTAAATGGTTGACGTTGATTGGTTCTAAACTGTTAGTTGGCCTTGTTAGAATATTGTTCGATGTATTAGTTTTATATATATATATATATATAATTTGTTGTGAAAAAATATGATTGGTTGATTTTAAATTAAAAATAAACTTTTATCCAATCATCTTTTACTAGATTATATATATATATATGTTTATGTTTGTATTGAAATTTGAGTAAACGATTTTTTCTCACCCAAAGTTTCATTTAATGGCACTTTTTCACCCAAAAAGTTTCAAACTACTATTTTTTCATCCAAAGTTAATATTCCGTTACTATCCAAAGCTGATTCTGGTGACAAAAATTATCTCCGTCATCACCATTTGAACCTACGGTCTCTTCTTTACAAAACCTCTCTCACTCCGATACCTGATTTCTAATTGATTATCGGTCATCGCAAAGTTAGGGTTTCTGGTTGTTAGCTAATTTCTGACTAATTCTGACAACGAATATTCAATTGATCACCACTATTCGATCCACCAGCCTCCATTCTACAAAATCTCTCTTACCCGGACTCTTGGTAATTGTCAAACATCGGCTGAGAAAGTGAAGTTTATTTTAAGTATTAATAGAACATAAATTGGGTGGAAAAGTGGTATTTTGAAACTTTTTAAGTGAAAAAGTGTCGTTAAGGCAAACCTTGGGTGGGAAAAGGTCATTTACTCTTGAAATTTATATAAAATAATTTAAACAAACACTTTCGATTTCCTATCCTATTCGTATTCCAAATCAAAATGTATATTTGTTTCCCTATTCTCAAAATCTTATCATAAATTCTTCAATTATTTTTAATTTTCAAATCCTACTTTGTAATAACCATCAAACTCTACCTAACAATAGTATTTAAAAAAATACTACTCCAAATGACTAAACAAACGCACCCAAAGATATCTATCCTAACCCATTTATACATAGCATATTATGTATCAAAATGATGTCATGTAAGAAATATTAAGCTTAGGCTTCTACATTCNAAGAGAGTTTCATATTTGGGTGGAACAATGGCTTTTGGAATCAAAGAAATGGGTACTATAGTGGCAGTGCTTGGTGTCACAGCTTTCATACTTGGAATTATTGCAGAAAACAAAAAGGTTTCAATCTGTTCTAAACTGCTTTCATCAAGTCTCTTTCTTTTACTCAAGTAGTGGAACCAATTTCATTAACATAAATCTTAGTTAATTTACTTTAGTTGAGTAGTAGAGCGTTGTTGCTTGATAGCTGATATTGTTCTAAACACTACTGATTTCATTTTTAATGGTATATCTACAGCCTGCATCTGGTGTTCCAACGATTTCTGGAGGAGTTGTTATTTGCAATTATCCATCAGATCCAACAGTCTATTTAGGATTCTTATGCATCTCATCACTCGGAGCAGCAGTGGCGATTGGTTTATATGCCATATTTCATCCTTACAGAGGCATATCTGTTCCTCTCAATGTTTTCTTCAGAAACACTAAATTTTCTGTGTTTTTCAACATAACTGTGTGAGTATCACTAGCTGTAACTTTTAACTTGATTAATTCATTGTTTAGTCGTCTCTCAAGTGGTTCAAATACCCTTAGCTTGTCTGTTGTAATGAGATCAGGTGCTTGTCCTTGTTTGCTGAAGGGATGTTGTTGTGGACAACAATCACTGAACTCAAGCACTTGACTAGCAATGTACATCACAACCTGAAAACGACTTGCCCCACAGCAAAGACTGGTCTCTTTGGGGGCGGCGCCTTCTTGGCTCTAGATGCTTCCCTCTTCTGGTTGATATGCCTCATGCTAGCTGACAATGCGAGAGACGACTACTTTGATGAAGAAGAGAACAATAGAGGTGAATACGGTCAGGTTCTCACCACAGATTATGCTGCAAGGGGACAAGGCAATGTTGCTTGACAATGTTTCCAGGGAAAAACACACAAGTGAACGATTTTCATAGACTGGTTTGTATCGTATTTATATGTATGTAGTTTCAGACAATCAAGATGCTTGAAACATGGTGGATGAATCTCTGTACAGAGAGAACTCTGCAGGAGTGACTATGATCTCTCCATTGCTTCTCCTGTCATCTCAGTTTGCTTATTTAAGTAACAAAAAGGGATAGTAGCCAATCTCTGCTGTGTTTGTACCTTCGGTCTGTGACTCTGGTTGTGCCAAAGATTGTAAAATGTTTATGCTCACCAAAATGGGCAACAGAATTCGGTATGAATATTTCTTGAACCTAGTCCTTGAGATTGATTGTTACTTTCGACAATCCGCAACTGCCCAAGCATACCATTCATTTTCTATCAATCCTTGTACAGCAATACTTCACATCCCATGATTACATCACTCAAAAAAATTGGTTTCGCTTGCTATCTTTGTCATTTTGTTCCAAAATTTTCAGAGATATCCATACTCTAGGAGCTCATGGATAGGCACAGTGATCTGATCTGATGGTATCTGTTTGCCTCCTTTAGAGCCGTACAACACAACCACGATTATATGGTAAAATGCGTGTTATACCCAGATGCACAAACAGATTGTATTTATTCATTATAAACAAAAAATAAAATCAACAAATGTGATTATGGTATAACTCCTGATATGTGTAACTAGCAAGGGAAATATTGAATACCAAAAAAATAATAATAATAATAATTTAAGCATAGCACTACAGTTACTTTATCTTCATTCCCCATCCCTATAAATGGTACAATACACTGAACATGTGACCTTAGAGGTTCACAGAGACTAAGAAGTTTGTGCACTGGGCATAACAACAATTGATACGTATACCATGTCTTTCTTCAGGCTTCGATTACTATGTTTTGGTGTGTGCACCTCACTAAAAAGGTGGTTTTCCTCACCTTCATCCATTCTTCGACTTTGTTTAATCTACTCTTCAGTTTGGCAAGGATTCGTCAAGCATCACCAATGAAGAGTGGAGCTGTATGTTACTTATTTTCTATGCTCTTCTGTGGAAAAAAATCTGTTCAAAGAAATGGAGTAATGCCCGATTTCTATGGTCTATTCAATCTAATGCATGACCAGTTTTGAACTAGCTACACTATCAATCAATTCACGGCCTGTGGTTTCAAGAGGGAAAAGCAATGTAGCGATTGCAGACAGAAAAATAACAATCTCAAACAAAACTATGGCTGCAGTTTGATGGCATCCGTGAACTAGAGCTACTGCCACAAGAGGACATGCCATCCCACCAATTCTTCCGATCGCGCTTGCAACACCAACACCAGTTGTTCTCACTGAGGTAGGGTATATCTGCAGTTTAAACACAAACGAAAATAACAGTTTTTGGCTGTAATGAAAATATTTTCAAGATTATGCTTATGAAAAATATATACAACTCAACAAACAAAAATTAATTTCTGTACATACCTGACAGTTTAGAAATGACATAACAGTTATGAAATACTCTAGGTTATGTCTGTGGAGTAGGATCATGGGGTGGGATTGGACTATTTTTTTTAAAATAGTCCAATCCCATGTTTGGATGCTTCTTAGGAATTGGATATCCAATCCCAGTCACCTTTATTTATCCCAAATGATTGGGATAAAAAATTATCTTATTAAATTTATAAATATTATTTATTTAATTTATATAGTGATAACTAAATTATATACAAATTATGTACTTATTAATAATTATTTAAAATGTAATAGTTTTAATAATTTAAAAATTATTAATCAATATATTTAATGTTTTTAATTAACTTTTTAAAATAAATATTCTTATCCGGTCTCATACTTCACCAAACATAAGACAGTACTAATTCAATCCAATCCAATCCTGCCTCCCAAACGCAACCAAAGACTCTTGGGCTGATTTACTCCTATGATAGGGAGAAAAGCCTTGTAAACACTGTACATAGTATGACAACACAACCTTAGAAGAGATGAGATAATGGTGAATATACCTAATACAATAATTTGTATCTCAGAAATCAAAATCATCCAAAGCAATCATCAATACTAGAAGCAATTACATTGGGGCTGGCCATCCGTAAATTTTCCAAAGAAGGGAAGTTCTGTCCTTGTTGCAACCAGTTTTAAGTTATTTTCTGTACATTCAACAGAACCTTTTGGTGTTAAGATGGAAATATTGAAACTAAATTGTGTATTGAACTTCTATCTCACAAACGTTTAGATTGAAAGCATTTTTCTTTTGTGATTTCTGTAATGAGATAGCGCTGTGCACGGAAGATAAAAAAAAATTTCCTATGGAAACAAGACATAAACTCTTCACTTACCTCTGGTGCATATATATACACATTGTGAAGCTCCCTGAATCATATTCGCTCAAAGAGAAGACCTGTTGTTAAACCCTCAGACTGCTGGAACAGCAAAGGAAGCAGAAATGCGCAACAGCAGAAGAACATAGCTGACATTGAAAGCTTACGACCAAGTTTATCTACTATGGCAGCTGATAATGGAGCCCGGAAACTCTTGAAGCAAATCAAATCAAAGTTAAACGTTAACAAGCAGCTTTCTAGGAGTGCAAGATTAAATTTCATATTAGTATAGAAAAGATTTTGAAAAAATTAAAAAAACCAAACCTGCAAAACTGGTGATGAAAACATCTTTGTATCAATATCCTGGGGTTTTTCAGATTGCAGTTTATCTGCACAGTTATTGTGTCCATTGTTCAACTCAGTGGTCAGCAATACAAGCCCAAATAGAAATGCATTGCCAAAGAACACTACCCATAAGAGCAAGGTTGATCTGATTAATTCTGGAGAAGAAGCACTAACAGTGCAGAGATGCCACCCATGTTAGACTCTGTCCACTCAGGAGTTGCGTATTCATTTTCTGTTTCATTAGCCTTAGGAGTTGAATCTTCCTCTTCTTCCATTCCCTTGGGAGTTGTATTGTCTTCATCAAGACTTGCTATATCAAACACCTAGTCTCTAGCTACGCTTCCCCATCAGAAACAAGATCACCAGAAGGAAGTGGTGTGCCATTAATTTTTGCTATTTTCTCCAAAATAAGACGTGCTTCGCTGTTCTACCTTTCAAGCATAAATACCTCGGTGATTCAGGAGTCACCCTGTATAAAAGGAGAAACAAAGAAGGGAGAGAGGAAAGCACAAGTAGCCACCTCCAACCCTGTCTTGGCTAACACTGCAAGCAGACATCATAAGGATGAGTGTTCCCTCCATAATCCTTTTTATAGTGAATTAGCATACTAACGGGACAAATATCACGTCATTTGAAATTCTCCTTTCTTTTTTCTTTGGCAAGTAAATGCAAAAAACTAGAAAAAATGCAATAGCAATGTCTTTTCTACTTTAGGGTGCAAGTAGCCAAGTACCAAACACAATGAAGCCACGGTGGATGGCAAGATTTGGACAATCATAGGTGACCACATATTAGTGACTTTTAAACACAGTGCTAACGGCAACGTGTTTTAAAACACAATATCCCGCAATGAGGAAATGTATTTGACAGGGTATAGTCTCACTACATGCCCCAATTGCAGAACTTGGAGACAGTTATCAAATCAAATGACCAAAGACAAAGGTAGGATGAAAAAAAATAAAATTAACTACAAGGAATCAATGAATTGCCACAAAAAAAAAAAAAAAAAAAAAAAATGAAAGATGTCTAGGAAATCACAGGCATACCCACGCAAGTGCGCCTCCAAGACTGTCCCACCACTCCAAAGCTGAAAAAATAACCATCCAAACGCCTCTGTTTGGAGCAGGAATAAACTCTAGAAACCAAGATGAGAGCACAGGACCGCCTCCCAAACCAAGACCACCAACAACGAAAGATGTCAAAAAAATAATAATTGGGGCAAAAGCACTCAGAAAACCAGCTGCGAAGTTACTACGCTGTAACGAGGAATCCTTTCTGAAGGAAAAGAATTAAGGAAAAAAAGAAAAGAAGAAGCAGTGATCAATTCAAATAAGGTACATATGAACCGCACTATAATGCTGCAAGATAAGCCATATCAAATTTAAAATCACATAAAAAAGTAGTAAAAGCATCCATAGTTACTAAGTAAGGTGACTATGTCCATTCTTTCAATACTAAAACTCCCGATTCAACTATGTATTAGAAAAAGGTGAAACCTGAAGAAGTTCTAAGGACCATTTATTTTATATATTAGCATTGGCAGAGAACTTTTCACCAAGGATGTTGCCTCAATCACATCTGCAAGATCTACATTACAAAACTAATTCATTGAGCGAACCAGGAAGCAGGGATTAGTCCCATCTAAGAACCCTTTAATTCTATTTCAATAACATTGTGTTGACTATTCCTAAAGGTGTAACTTTAAAGTCTTTTTGTTTCTCACTTTCCCTATGGTAGTTTACATCTCAAGGTCATATTTTCCAGGCCAAGAGGTAAGAACAGAAAACCATTTCTTATTCAGGAGCAAAAAGAAAGATGAAATAAACTAGTCATTTTAACCACTATGATCATCTTCACGCATGGTAAAACAAAGCAGCTTGTCATTAGTTTCATTTCACCTAGACAAATAATTTATTCCCTTGAAAATAAGTGACAGAGAATCAATATTGAAAAATTCCACAAAACACTGAAGGCAGATTTAGAAAAGCAGACACAAATGATGATTCAAAAAAGCGAAGACTGCAAACAATTAATGAGAAAATGATGAAGGGCACACCTTCTCCATAATTGTCTGACATAATGCCCCATGAGTAGGTCCCAACTAGCATTCCCACAAAAACAGCAGTTGTTATGGACCTCTTGCTTAGAGGAAAGACCCCATAAATTGAACTGCTGGTCCTACAAAAGATAGGAGCATCATTTCCATCGCTTCCGAAATCAATCCCATGCCAGCATAAGCAAGCACACAAGCTTGAAATTTCCCAAATCCCATTTTCACAAGAGCTTCATCCACAGTATAGTAGAGTTTTCTTCTTGATTTTCATTCCCATCTAAAAATCAAAGAGACAGAATAACTTAAATTTTATAATCCATATTGCTTGTAAATTGTTTTGAAGTATTGCAGTAACATTGTGGTGATTTTGGAGAGTTTCTACATGATTTTCCCGAAGAACTTCTGATTAATACTTCACCACATATTATCAGTTGCTTTGCATCTACATTTACAATAAGATACAAGACACCGGTCTAACACTTGAGTCCCGATACATAGTTCAAACAATCTAAACTTCATTTAAGCTAGAGTTGGCAATAAACTATCCTAATGATTTGATAAATCTCTT